ATAATAATGATTATTGTTGTTGTAATTTCAAAGATTTTAAATTTAAAATATTTTTTAACCTTCACACCAGACATAACAGGATAGAGTTCTAAATGATGATGATTGTAATTTCAAATATTATTTTAATAACAATATAACAATTTTTATCATAATTATTACTATTATAATGCAATATTATTTTTTATTTATAACAATTATAACAACAACAACAATAACCTTCACACCAAACATAGTGGGATAGGGTTCTAAAACTGCTGTTTGTTCACTAAACAGGAGAAACCACGAGGCAAGCACACAAGCCAGGCTGTCCATCAACAGAACAGGACATGTCACAGGAAGTTGTTGTGCAAACAGGAAGGACAGAATGAAGAGTGGAAGATGACGTCCACATCAGAGGAAATACAATGCACCTGTAAGTTATCTGGAAGTGTACTCAATTATTTCTCTCTCACACACACACACACATACACTCACACACTTACTTGAGAGACATTTTGATTTTGTTAAGTGTTGCAGAGCTGCTTTTGATATTTGATACCTGTTTGATATTTTGCAGTGAGCATCATATGGAATCCAAAATCCAATCATCATCATCATCTGAGCCAAATTGCGAGCCGCATATCCAGGCATGTAAGCCAGTGTTTGGAACTGTATGTATGTGCATGTGTGTACAGTATACATCAGTGTGGAAGGTGGAGGGCTCTTCAGGAGGTGTGCTGAGGTCATGTGTTTCCTGGCAGAGGAGTAACCCTGCAGGCATGGAGGCATGAGGATATTAATACCACACAGTGTGGAAGTCCCGCTCCCACATATACACACACCCACACACAGGAGAAAAGATGAAGATCACACATCCTCGTTGGGTTTTGCACCACTGAATTTGGTGGTAAACAAAGTCAAAGGTCACTGAGGTAAATGTGAGGTTTATGTCAAGCAATGATGTATATCATTTATCTTCACAAGAAAACAGACCATTCACCTGCCTCCAAAGAGGCATTACCAGTGTCCTAAAGTGAACACAATTTTCGCTTCATGCGAGTGATAGATTGCATTTAGTTTACTGCAACATTTTAGAACCGGGCGTGAAGATTGCAGTCTGTCTGAGGCGGTAAAGAAACACACAATGGTTTTCAGAATATAGTTTGAAATGTTTCCTATTGTGTCAGTCGAGCATTAGATTTTATCCACGTCACAATGATGGGAAACGCACAACAATACACTGTAACTGGGTCGACGTAGACAGCTTAAAAAAGGATAGATTGCAGCACAACAGCACGACTACCATTCTGGCCAACTTTGTCCTACAAAACGGAAATTAATTAGTTTGATTTAACAATCGACAATTAAGCATTATTATTGCTAATACTTTTAATCGCTAACCACAAGTATTTATTTTCGGCACTTAACTCGCCACTCACGTTTGTGTTACAGATATGAATAACACCTCAGTCTTAAACTGAATTGAGCTGAATAAATGACACTATTGTCTTCTGCTTTATAACTGAATTGAATTTATTCATAACTGATTAATTTTGCAACATTGACACTATTGTCTTGCTACAGCTGCTTTATAGCAGAATTGGGCTTCGCCTCATTTTTGAAGTTTGCATTATTGATTCTTTTACTGTCCTGTTTAATTCTGCGAAGCTGCTTTGAAAATCCCAACTGTATAAAGTGCTATAAAAATCAAATTGACTTGACCTCAAGTCATACGGCATGTGAGGAAAAGTGTGCTATTACTTTTGTAAGTGCTCAGACTTTACTATTTTTTCCCTGCAGACAATAAAATCCATTAAAAATAATTAAAGGAGGGACTTGAGCCATATGTAGAGACTAGAATATCACAGAGACTTAGGATGTTAGGATGGCCTCTTTTGACTTAAGCCAGTAAGCAACCACCCAGAATACCCTAGCAACTGCATAGCAACGTGTTTAAAAACTCTCCAAATGCCTTAGCAACTGCATAGCAATGCAATGGATACCATAACTTAGCATTGTGTTGTGTGATGTAAAACTCCTGTGTTACGTATGCAATTGCTGTTTTTATGCGTATTGTGTTTAGTATTCAGGGCACTTAAAGAAAACAGAAAGAGTGTGAGAAATGCCAAGAAGTATTAAACAGTCAAAGACATCTGTATCTGCAGTAGACACCAAAATAGAGGCCTGAGGAGCTCAGCGTTTGGTTTGGCTTTCAGGAATATTACTCCGAAAGCTTCTCAGTTACTGTGGTAAAATCATCTTTCATTTCACAGGGAGATAAAGCCACATTCCTCACAATGACAGAACCTGAGACGCGGTAGAAAGAGAGCTGCTGATGGAGGGAGGAAAACAGCTTGTCATCCATTCTCTCAGATCAACTAATAACAGAGAGCACGTGCTGGAGGAACTAATGGAAGCACATACACAAAAACTGAAACCCAGATCAAGTATGACGTTTCTGTATTATCCTGTTTTGGGATATTGTGATACAAAATACTGGATGGAAACACCAAGACGCAAATAAAATGTTAAAAATATGCACAAAAAATGCATGCACTCGCTTAAGGTGGACACATTTTTCAGTCTTTAAGAAGATGTGCACATAAACAACAATGAAAACACAGGCTGAATTCAGAATAGAATACTAGGACTCTTAAAGATACGACTTAAAGATATTCTGGATGAATAAAAAAAAAAAAGTGTGACTTTGCCTAAACAAGTCATGTGACTGAATAGTTTCAGGCATAACATATTTTTGTAGGCAAAAACCCGGAATTGAGTTACTGTAGCATTTTGCACTTCTGGTTTCATCGTCCAGAAGTCAATGGTTTTCATGAATGGGCTTTGGTTAAATGGCTGAAATAAGGTCTGTGGTCAACACAAACTCAAGATATTTTTATGGTTTATTCTACAACATAAAATGCATCAGTAATACCCCTCTGTGTTTTTTTAAAGCTTTTACTTCACTGCAGCACCTATTATCTGTTAGAACTGTATGGCATACAGTTAGGGCATTTTTGTCTGTTTTAAACCCCCAAAGTCCATTTTAAAATTAAGTAGTAAGATATAAAAGACTGTATAGTCACTGTGTGTGCACGATAGCTAAGTGTACTAGTGTTGTGGGTCATTCTATGGTGTATGTTAGCACGACCAATCAGCATCCAGAACTGCTTTTTTTTTTTTCATAACGGAGCAAAGTACACATGATTTTCAATGTAGAAGCTGTGTGAATCCAGCTTAGTGTTGGAATGCTTGTGTGTGAGAAGAATGTTGTGCATTTTTGTCTCTGTTTGGCTGGCATGGTGGGAGGAACACTGGGGGAGGGGTTTTGTTGCTTGGGATTTTCCCAGCGTAACACACACAGGCCTGAAATCAAGCAGGTCTCAATCTTACAGTTATTCCATCCAGACACCTGCAACCTCATCAAAAAAAACCTGCTGCCATCAATCATAACTGTGCATACGACAGATTTATGACCAAAAGCAACTTGGTCAAAATCAGACCCAGTACTAATTTGTATAGTTCATGGTCGACACTCATACATGAAGAATATGTGAGTGATGCAGCTATTAAAAATAATTTTTCTGGCCATAAAAATCTTCAAACACTCATATAAAGAGGCATTCTTGTACGTTCACATAGCCACAGATTTATATACACCTATAAAGAATCAGACATCGCAGATGTTCGGAGCAAAAGACATGATGCAGATGACATGTGGAGTAAAAAACAAGATATCATGGCCACAAATTAACAGTTTGTAACAGTAACAGTTAACAGTTTGTAGTTTCATACAGTGTGCGTTGATGATCTTGCTCTTCGAGACAGAGCAAGCTTTATCTGTGGCTGAATGTGAACTGCGCTCGCTAAAATATTTGAGATCTTTTAAGAGACTCAGAAGAGGTCAAAGGTTTTTTGGCTCTAACTTGCTATGGCACGAGTGAGTCACTTTTCAAACGCTGTTCCCAACAGAATCTAAAAACATCCTTGAAAAACATCCAGCTGCAAACAAAATATCTGTGTATGTAAAAAAATGCAAACAGAAGATTTTATGTAATATTATTTCTTTGTGGTGGTGCTGTTAAAGATCATAATATAAAATTGAAGCCAAGTTTGGCTTGGTTATATTTCTTTCCCATCTGTGTGTTTACAGGCGCATCAACATAAGAGAAAGAAATGGGGAATAAAGAGGAATGAAGGGGAAAGAAGATGATCGAGTCCCATGAATCCTAAACTAGGAGGTGAATCAGAGGGGATTCTTGTGGCCAATTTGGTGTCACTTAAAGGAATAGTTCACCCCAAAATTGTTCAATCTCCAGTGAAAAAGTGGTCCCGTCTGAATCAGGAGAGAAATATGCACAGATCAAGCAGTGTTTACAAGCGAAAACAGGACTGGACTGGAGTCATGTGGATTATTGTGATGTTTTTATCAGCTGTTTGAACTCTCATTCTGACGGCACCCATTCACTGCAGAGGATCCATTGGTGACTAATGGCTCGTTTCCACCGAGCGGTGCAGTTCAGTACAGTACAGTACAGTATGATTCAGGTTACACCATGATTACACCATAATCTGACTTGCGTTTCCACCGCCAACAGTTGATAGGCGTGCTGTATGCTGGAAAGTAGCGATCAACGTCATTCTTGCGCAAAGAAGAAAGTGCAACATTCTCTGTGTGTATGCGTGTGAAAATATAAAATTATAAAACACTATATTATATTTTTTGTGTTTGCGTACTCTGATGTAAACAAGCATGCATGAGCAGTATGGCGGAGCGAGTGAAGGAGACACTTCATTCCCCTTGTTGCACGGGCAAGTAACGGTTCTCTGTCAACCAATCAGCATTCTGCAGTGAGTCTAGCTCCACCCTTTAGGTACTGGACTACTGTGCTAGGTACCCCAACGCAAAGGTCCCAAAAAAGTGGTACGGTACAGTTCCCTATTTTGGTACCATTCACAACTGCTGACAATGGAAACGGTAAAGTAATTGCATACCGTAATGTACTGTACTGAACGGTACCATTCGCTGGAAACGAGCCATCTGTAATTCAAGCATTTTTATAGCATATTTGCATTTGGTTTCATATGTAACATACACCTTTTTCAAATTTTCTCTTTCAAATTCACTCTGAAATGTCACATTATGAAAATAAAATGAGTTATGAATGGCAGGATCACTGTAATATTTAGATGTATGTTTAACATTTTGATATAGTTCACACATACTTAAACTAATATTTTTAGCATTTAGCATAACAAGCTAATACATAATCGAAAACGGCGCACAAGTTGAGAGAATTTGCTATTATAATAAATAATTAATCATTGTACTATGTGTTATGCGTTTTTTGTATGCTTACAGTATTGCATCATTAGCTTTGCAGCATGTTGTGACTCTTCCTTGCGCTATTTCTGTTCTGAAACACAAATGGATTTGGGGACACACATTGGGCCTCATTCATCAGAATCAGAATCAGAATCAGAATGAGCTTTATTGCCAGGTATGTTTACACATACGAGGAATTTGTTTTCGTGACAGAAAGGAACGCAGTGGAATATTCTGGTCTACTTTCTCAGGTTTGGCTCCAGTATATTGCATAAATGCAAAAAAGACTAATAGGCCATATGCTTAACAATAAATATTCAATAAAGTGTGTCCACCAAAGAGTTTTTAGCCAGCTGAAAAAATGTCAGGTGCTCTTCTTAAAACGACCAGCTGGTGGCGCTTGAGAACACTTTGGTGGTACAGCGTTTTTCCAGCTGACGCTTCAGTTGCTATGATTTGGAATATCCACGGCGGCGACAACGTAGTACTATTAGTATATCATTTTTAAGAATTTTACTAAATATAAAAAAGCAGTAACCAGTAATATTGTTGGTTACAATTCTTCATTGTTGTAGGCAGTCGTTGTACAAGCAGGATGGTTGGTCGCTATTTGTTCCACCCGTCCTCTATTTACGGCTGGGTAAATAGTGACAGTGACGAGCGCTGCGTTTTAGTTATCAACTCCAAAAAAATATTTCCCAAAAAATTTCAAAAAGAGGGCAATGGCAAATTAACTTGTAATTATTATGGCAGTGCATCAAAATTCAGTGTCCTCAGTTTGCCAAAAATAACACGTTTTACGCACCATTTACACCTGGTAAGGAGCAGGTGTACATTTCTTTCGTACCAACTAACATTTTGAAAATACGACAATTTTCATGAATTCGAAGATTTACGTCAGAACAGCTTTACGAACGGTTTACACCAAAATTCGTTCTGCTCGTGTTTCATGAATGAGGCCCATTGTCTGTTAAGAAGTAGAGCAACTAATGTGTTATTATTTTGGACATGTTGTGAGGAGGGTGTATTCTTCAGGGTGACCACTTCCCTGTAATGCGGAAAGATTCCAGTGACCGTGCAGTATTGTATGTTTTGAGGAAGCACAGTTCAGGTTAGGCTACGGAAAACACCCTATTTGTCAGAGCTAGTTTTGTTTGAGAGGAGATGCACACTCACTCGGAAAAAAGTCACCAATTCGGCCAGAAGAGGACAACAATAACATGTTGTTTGATGAGAGCAAATCAATGAATAATCCAGAGGCCTAATAGAATCCTCTTCATCACAGCAGAGATGATGACAATTGGCCCAGGTCCTGTGCAGAGGAGTGCCCATTTATCATAACTCATTACTTCATCGTGCTATCAGTGAATAGTATGACTTATTTGATCTTTCTCATTCTCAGTCTTTTTTCCCCCCTCTGTTCTCTCATTTTAGAGCTGTCTTTCTTTTGCGGTTTGCAATATTACTTTGTTAAATCTATAAAACATTTAAGAAATTATAACTTTAAAATTATTATTATTATTTTTTTTAAATCAGCTCTTAAAATAAAACAAAAGAGATTAATATAATTACAAATATATACACTACAGTTCAAATGTTTGGGGTCAGTAAGATTTATTAATAATAAATTTATACATTTATTCAGACTTTTTAAAAATACTTTTATAGATTTTCACATTGTTAGAAAAAAATATTTAAAATAAATGAAGTTCTTTTGAAGTATATCAGAGAATCCTGAAAATTTGTATGTATATAAAAAAAAAACTTGTATGATGGTTTCCCCAAAAATATTAAGCAGCACAACTGTTTTCAACATTGATAATAATAAGAAATGTTTATTTAGCAGCAAATCAGTATATTAGAGTGATTTCTGAAGGATCATGTGACACTGAAGACTGGAAATTCAGCTTTGCCAATCAAGAAAATATTCAAATAGAAAACATTTACTTCAAATTGTAATAATATTTCACATGATTAATATTTTAGTGTATTTCTGATCAAATAAATGCAGCCTTGTTGAGCACAAGAGAATTCAAAAACATTTTTAAAATTCTTGCCAACCCCATAAACGGTGGTTTATTAACTTTATATAGGCTACAACTGATTATTTTTTAATACATAAATGCACAGTAATGTAATTGATTAAACAGCTATTTTGGTTTTAAAGGTTTTCAAACTTTTAGTCATGGATAGTTTTTTTTTTCCCACTTTTTTTCAATAATCTTGTACATTCATTCATTTAACAAGTGAAGTCTTAACATAAGCTACTTGAGAGGAAGCTATACTTTGTGAGATTGTTTCCCCCCCTTAAGTATTAAT